CACGTGGGTCTTAGAAAACATGGCTAACAACAAAACCAGTGGAGGTGATGGCATTCAAGTTGAACTATTTAAAACCTTAAAAGATGATGTTGTTAAGGTGCTACACTCAATGTGCCAGCAAGTTTGGAAAACTCAGCAGTGGCCAGAGGACTGGAAAAGATCAGTCTACGTCCCAATCCCAAAGAAAGGCAGTGCCAAAGATTGCTCCAACTACCGTACAATTGCACTCATTTCACACACTAGCAAGGTGATATATAACACCGTGCGTGCATGTGTGCGTGCATGCATGTGCATGGGTGTAGCACGGTATCTGGTTCCCTCTAGTGGACAGTTCTGGTAATACATCTTGGAAACATTTCTAGGGGGATTATTCAACATTTTCAGGCAGCAAATAAGTGAAACCGTATGTACTGATCCTATAGATCCTGTGGTCCATCTGAAGTTTTCTTCAACTTTAAAAAGGTCCTTTTCAAAATTCCGGGTACACACAACTTCATTTCATTACATGCAGGCAACTGGAAAAAAAGTAACTCTTTAATTAGTGTCAGTCTGCCACTGCCAATGACATCATTCCTGCCCTGCTGGCAGGGCACCACAAGACAACATTCGCCACTGTTGTCTTAAAATCTATTAGAATTAAAATGCTGGTTTAAAAACAGTCAAGGTATAAATCAGCCTTCCGCAACTCATCAGCCTCCAGAAATATTGGGACTACTTTTTCCACAATCCTGACTGCCTATGCTGGCTGGTTGTAGGAATGAAAATCCAACCTATCTAGATGATGCTATCTCAGTGAAGGCTATGTAGCACATAATTTTCTTCAAGAAATACTGAGAAATATAGTTTGGCAAGGTTTTGACTAAGACACAGAAAACTCAAGTATCATATACAGAGAGTTACTGCACCAAGGTTTCCTAGGAAAAGGGAATGATCATGAAAGTAGAAAGTGCAGCATACAAAGGCTCTTACTCTAAAGACCAAGTGTTGTGTGCTCAACATCTTACAAAGTTGCAAAGCCCCAGTTAAACTACAGGTACACTTAACAGTTTAAGGTTATGCATCTTGACATTTGTTGAGTACTCAAACTTCAAGTACCTTCATCTAGTTGAAGAAACAGCAAGATTATTTATGAGAATGGCCTTTTTGTTCATGTCTTTGATCTTTAACAGCCTTAGTTGAAGCCATTCATTTCAGAGCATCCTTTTGTTTCAAGCCCAAAAGAGAAATTATAGGTACAAGCATTCCATTTAAGCCTTTTTACAACCATCTCCCTGCCCATGTCATAATCCAGCCCTGGCAGACATACTATCCCAGAGAATATAGCAAAAAGATTCATGCTCAGTTAAACTGGATTTCCAGTTTCTGAGTGCCATAAGCAGGCAGCCAGAATTCTTTGAAACTTGAAACACTACAGCCTGTAATATCAACATATATTAAATCCTAAAATATAAAAACAGTTTATGGTAAATGAATGTCATTTTGTTACACTTCCTGTACAGGCGTACCTCGGTTTACGAAATTCATCCGTTCTATGCAACGTTACATAATGCGGAAATTTTGTAAACCGAAACACAAAATGTGCTACAAAAGGGGCGGTGCTATAGGCACAAGGTACCCTGGGAAAATGCTTTCATACTTGGGGGGGAAGGAAAACAACGTAAACCAAGGCATTATTTCTTATGGATTTCGGTTCATAAACTGAAAACTACGTAAACCGAGGCATTTGTAAACCGAAGTACCACTGTACTTTCCAAGCTATCCAGTTATTCATCAATCTTTTTATTTTACCTTATCTGTCTCATCAAATTATTAAGGCATCCTCAGTGTCTTACCCACCTATGACTTTATTTACACTCTTTTACTGTTTTAATATGGTTAGAGAATGAGCCCTACACACACTGAAGAGCCAAATAAATAGTGAGAGCATACACGGCATTCTGGTTGACTGTAGTTCTTTATGTACAAAAAGGAACAATGCTCAAAAACATTATACATTGGGGAGCCTTGAAGAAAAGAGAGAGAATACTTTAAAATGCAAGAGCAGTAACATACCTGTTGACACATGGAAAGACATCCTGTGCCAAATGACTCTACTAGCAATCTAAGGACAAGCAAGTACCTTCTTACTCTTCAATCAGGAATATCTATTATCATTTTTGTTTGTAAGTCATAATTTTTTCTCCATTTTAGTAAAGCAAGTGTGATTAAGCTTTTGAAAACCAAATTTAGTGACAGTGCAAGGTAACAGCATGATCTTATCCAGAAATACCTATCACCCATTTCCAATTTAACACTTCCCCAAATGCACAGAAATGCAGCCTCACTGTTAAGAAGTCACCTGCATGTCATTTTTAAAAGGTAATTAAACTGACTTCAATTTCTTTAAGTAAACTGATGGCCTGAATAGTTATGGTGTACAAGCCAAATCTATTAAGTAATCATCTACACTAATATTAACCCTAAATATTCTCAAAATTATTACTTAATGTCTTGGTTCCCTTATATCAAAAATCTGTATTGATGACATGACAATATAGGAAGATAAAATATGACAATAAAACATGATCTGAAATGCATTTTCCTAGACAATAAACCAACAAATTTCACACCTTCACTTTCCTTCCTAACACAACACTTCTAGTACTGTGTGTGTACACTATATATACTCACAGTAAGAAAATGAGAATTACCAAGTTCTGCTGTAAAGAGAATTCTATTATGGACTACTGTGTAAAGTTCTCCCCTTTTACTACAAAATATATAACTCCACGTCCTTTAATCTTTGACGTTTAAAAAAATTGGCAGGTCTGACAGCATTACAATCAATATCTAGGTGAAGCCATAGCTGGGGAAATTAGTCAAAAAACTGTGGGATGTGGCCTTAAATCTACATCAGACCGGTAGTCCTGCTGACAAAAAGGACAAAGTATATGAAGGCCACTGCTCACAAAAAAATGTAAAATAGAGTATTAAGATTGCATTATGAAAAGGATCCTGAAATTCAACTGAACTGAATTCTAGAAACGTTGCCAAATGACCGGCCAGACGTTGAAAACGTTGAGCTCCACGCCAATCTCTCATCCCCTTCCTCTGTGTAAATGCGACATAGTCAGGCCTACTGCATAGGCCTCTGTAATACAGTCAGGACCTTTGTTCCATACATCGATGTTTTCCCCTAAAGCCCTTGATAAAACTTTCCACTCTCCCTGCGCTAACGTTTCCTTGTTCCTAATCTAAACTTTTTTTTTCCAAATTCCTGGTGCCTAAAAAACTTGCAGCAAAGAATATCCCCACCCGGCCCAGGACCGGGCATTAGGAGAAAGGAACAATAAAAGTTGGACAGGAGGCAGCTTGGCCTGCAGGGCTGGCAAAAGCCCCGAGATCAGTTTGAATGTTCGCCCCGTCCTAGTCAGCAAATACTACTCCAAAGCTGTCGTGCGGGAAGGACGCGGAGAGCGAAAAAGAGAAGAATGTGAATTATCTCAATATGACGCGTTATGCAAACAAGCTAGGCCAGTTTCTTCTCGAAGGCACCAGCAATACGGATCGGCTCTAAAACAACATGAGAGAAAACAATCTACTCCCGGTATTGGGAATTCAGCACAGAAAGGGTCTCGATTACCAAGCACCTTCCCCCCCCCGGCTTGGTAATCTACGATTTCCCCCCCACACCCCGGCCCCCAAAAGCCAGGCCAATATGGAGGCAAACGATCTTAGCTTTTTTTTATTGTTGTCGTCGTTGTTGTTGTTCGGCTGAAGATGACTGTCTTCTTCTTCTTCTTCCCTTCCCCGAACGTATTCCGGGGGAGTCGGTCCTGCCTTTCAATAAAATTATTTAAAAGGCGACAAGCCTCTCGGGAAGCTGCCTAGGGAAAGGTCGGGGACGAGAAGAAGCAGGGCCGAAGACCAAATCCGGTGCAATGTCAACACTGACACTGTCCTTTTGTATTTTCGCAGCCACCCAACCTAGAAAGCCTACCTTCAACGGGGAAAAGGAGGGGGGGGGGGTCGGCGGTGGTTTAGGGTAGGCCCGATCCGGAAAAGCGAGAATGGAGGTACAGCCTAGCTGGACCCCCTCGGCATCCCCCAGACGAACATGGGGGTTCAAATCCCCCCCACCCCACCCCAACCAAGAGAGCGGGGACCGCAGGAAAGGGAGGGGAAGGGAAGGGCTGAATCACGAGAAGCTTCAAGCAGCCATTTGGCCATTTTGTCAGGCTCCATGTCTGCCACCCGGGTTCCTTTCCACCACACGGGTTCCTACAAGAAAGAAACCTTCCTCGTCACCCCTCCCCAGGCCCGCAGATAAAGGGAAAGGCACCCCCCCCGTCTTTCCCAGGGAGCACTTCCTCAAACCAAGGCAAGGCCTCAAGCCGTCACCT